GCAAAGATACTGGAGTGGGTTGCCATTTCCATCTCCAGGGGATCCTCCTGACCCAGGGATCAAATCCGCCTCTCCTGCAGTGGCAGATGCTTTTTTTTTTTTAACCACTGAGCCACCTGGGAGCCTCAAGATGTACCACATCTGCTCTATCTATTCATCAGCTGATGATGGGCATTTGGATTATTTCCACCTTTTGGCTCTTAGAAATAGTGCTGCTGTGGATATTCACTGCAAGTTTTGTGTGGCTGTTTGTCTTCATTTCTTTTACTTAGGAGTACTGTTGGGTCCTATGTCAAATTTATGTTTAATTTTTTAAGAAACTGAAACTCATATTTCTCTGCCATCCATAGGCTGATGATGGAAAGGCATATGAGGCTGTCTCAAGTAGAAAAGAAATACCTGCCAGCACACAGCTATCAAGTGCATAGTGTTGAGAGAAAAGCTACAAAAGATGGAGTGGAGCCTGCTCTTAGGAGTTTATAGGCTAATCCAGATGTTCTAACACATGTGTTTATAGAGTAACTTGGCAGTATGGAAAATCTGAATCTGAACAGAGGTCCCAACAATCTGTGCAAAATGAATTCAGGAAATACTGGATGCTTACTTTTTGCAAGTTAGGCTTTAGGAAAGACAGATAGAAATTTAAAACAAACACATTATCCCTCCCCTGAGTTACTAAGCAACTAATTAGTAAAATAAGACCTAGTTATCAAAGAAGTTAAATAATTAGAGATTTAAATACAAATTCAAGATAATACTAGAAGACGTGGGGTGTGGTGGGAATGGAGGGAGGAAGGTAAGAAGGAAAATAGATAAACTTGTCTGTCCTTTGAGATCTTGTGAGAAAACAGAAACCCAGAGTGTGTTCCTTTAAAACTGTTGCTTTTCCAAAGATGTAAGGGTTTCCAGTTCTATCACTGCCCTGGAAATCTTAGTTCAAAAAGAAGTGTTGGATAATAAATAATCAGAACCATTGAGCTAGATCAATAATAATGACTGCTAATATCTGAGTAATTAATGTGCCAGGGAGAAATATCAATAATCTCAGATATGCAGATGACACCACCCTTATGGCACAAAGTGAAGAAGAACTAAAGAGCCTCTTGATGAAAGTGAAAGAGGACAGTGAAAGAGTTGGCTTAGAGCTCAACATGCAGAAAACTAAGATCATGGCTTCCGGTCCCATCACTTCATGGCAAATAGATGGGGAAACAGTGGAAACAGTGGCAGACTTCATTTTTCTGGGCTCCAAAATCACTGCAGATGGTGACTGCAGCCATGAAATTAAAAGACACTTGCCCCTTGGAAGAAAAGTTATGGCCAACCTAGATAGCATATTAAAAAGCAGAGACATTACTTTGCCAACAAAGGCCCATCTAGTCAAGGCTATGCTTTTTCCAGTGGTCATGTATGGATGTGAGAGTTGGACTACAAAGAAAGCTGCGTGCCAAAGAATTGATGCTTTTGAACTGTAGTGTTGGAGAAGATTCTTGAGAGTCCTTTGGACTGCAAGGAGATCCAACCAGTCCATCCTAAAGGAGATCAGTCCTATGTGTTCATTGGAAGGACTGATGTTGAAGCTGAAACTCCAATGCTTTGGCCACCTGATGCAAAGAGCTGACTCATTTGAAAAGACCCTGATGCTGGGAAAGATTGAGGGCAGGAGGAGAAGGGGACGACAGGGGATGAGATGGTTGGATGGCACCACCAACTCGATGGACATGGGGGTTTGGGTGGACTCCGGGAGTTGGAGATGGATAGGGAGGCCTGGTGTGCTGAGGTTCATGGGGTGGCAAAGAGTCAGACACGACTGAGCATCTGAACTGAACTGAACTGAATGTGCCAGGTGTTGCTCTCAACAGTTTACATTTTTACTCATTTAATCCTCTTAATAACTCTATGAAAGAAATACTACTATCATCGTCTAATGATAAGGAAAATGAGACTCAGAGAGGTTAAGTACATTGCCCAAGGCACACAGCTAGAAAACAGCAAAACTGGAGTTTGGATACAGGGAGTCCAGAGCCTACATATTTAATCACCTCAAGTCCTGTAGTACAGTTACAGGACTCAGTCTCCAAATGCAGTTGGGGAAGTAGATCCAGAGGTATCTGGAGATTTATCTGAGATCAGGGATAGGAGTTGCACTCACTGCTAGTCCAGTCTTCTATCAAGAGTGACACTGGGTATCACCAGAGAGCCCTTTATTAAGATGCCATTTGTGGATGAGCCACAGGATGCACAGGATTTCTGACTTTAGTAGAGTGGACTGTGGAAAGCAGTGCTTCCTGTACAATATGCCAGGTCTGACCTCTGCTGTTGATCCGCCACATGAAGGTGGGCTAGTTACACCCTCTGAGCCCAGTTTTTCTACTTGTAAACTGGGGGTAGTAGCCATACTAGCTCATCGGATTACAGGAATGAAATGAAAGAACGGAAGAAATTGACAGTCATTGCCAATTTTGGTGCTGCAGAACTGTTTGGGGCAGGTCATTTGGAACTGAAGAGTATAGGATGCTGTGTAGGCTGAGATTTCTCAAGTCCAAACTGGATAACGGGTTGTTTTTAGGTATCCCACAGGATTCTGTGTTGCAGGAAGGCTCTGGACCAGTTGTCCTGACTTGATCTGGGTTATATCATCAGATGTCATATCTTTTTGCCTTTTCATACTGTTCAACTGCTACATTTTTTTTAGTAGTCATGTACAGATGTGAGAGTTAGACCATAAAGAAGGCTGAATGCTGAAGAACTGATGCTTTTGAACTGTTGTGCTGGAGAAGACTCTTGAGGTAGCAAGTCTCTTAGACAGCAAGGAGATCAAACCAGTCAATCCTAAAGGAAATCAACCTTGAATATTCATTAGAGGAACTGATGATGAAGTTGATACTTTGGCCACCTGATGCGAAGAGCCAAGTCATTGGAAAAGACACTGATGCTGGGAAAGATTGAAGGCAGGAGGAGAAGGGGGAGACAGAGGATGATATAGTTGGATGGTATCATCAACTCAATGGACATGAGCTTGAGCAAACTCCGGGAGATGGTGAAGGGCAGGAAGGCAGCGAGGCGTGCTGCAGTCCATAGGTCGTAAAGAGTCAGACACGGACTGAGCAACTGAACAACAATATATCATGATATGAAACCTGAGGTCAGTCTGTACATATACCCCTAATACAACACATTTTAGTCCCTTTTAAGACTCGATTAGGTCAATTTCTTTTAGTGACTGTTTTCTATACCAAATTTTGCAGCTCTGCTTCAAGGGACTGTTAGTGGTAACCATAGTCAAGAGTTTGTTTCCCCACGATTGTAGACATGCAAGGGTTGGTAAATTTGCAATCGATGGAATATTGTAAACCATCTGCATTTGTCAACTTGCCCCTGGCCAGAGGCCAGGCTGAGGCTGCTCTTCCAGGGAGATAGCTTTAATGCAGAATTTGGCTCTACAGTGATTTTCAAAGCTAGGGTGGGCCTGGACCTGAGCATTTAAAAGTTGCTCAGGTGACTCTAATGAGAACCACCGATTCTCACTAGAAAAATGTGTGAGATCTCAAGGTTCTTATAGCCCAGCTGGACAGGTTTTGTAAAGGGTATCTAAGCAAGCATGAGTTTCCCTGGTGGCTCAGACGATCTGCCTGAAATGTGGGAGACCTGGGTTCGATCCCTGGGTTGGGTAGATCCCCTGGAGGAGGGCATGGCAACCTACTCCAGTATTCTTGCTTGGAGAATCCCCATGGACAGAGGAGTATTAGAAGTATACATAGAGATTAAGGGGTTCAGCTAGTCACAGTTTAGGAAATGGAATTTAATTTTCCTATAGAGTAGGCTAACAAAGCTTTCTTTTACTTCTATACCGCTCAGTTCAAACAAAGGTCAGCTTCCTTCAGCACCCATTGGTCCCAGCAGAGCAGGAGCCTGTCTAAACGAATTTTGTATGTCCCTGGCACATTGCGTGGATCATAGTAGTCTCCCACTAATGTCTGTTGACTGAGTAAACGAGTGTAGACTTCTCGGCTGGCCCATCTCGGTTTCAGGAGAGGTGGTACCCTGGGCCAGCCTCGCTTAGGCATGTAAAGCGATGGGGTCTGTTCCCCCTCTTCTCCCTTTATCGGTAATGACCTCCTTCCAATTCTTCTAACTCGGGTTTTGACTCCGTCGCCGCCTCACTCGATCCTACCCGCTGCTACCTGCCTCTCAGGCGTCGGGCTTCAAATCTGCCTCTCACCCCTTGTCCAGTTTCCGGTGAGTCAAGTTCAACCCCAAGGTTCAACCCTGACAGTGACGGCCACAAACACATTCCCTCACCGGCACCTCGGAGGAGGCGCACGCCCACCACCGGCCAACAGGCCGCGCAGAGAGGGGCGTTTCTAACCTCGCGGCTTTCCGGGTTGGGGGTGTGAGTCGAGAGACCCCTCCCCAACAACCCGACTGCTCTGCGAGGGAGCGCCCGGCCCTCAGCGGGCGTGGCCGCCCTGGCCCAGCCCCCGCCCAGCCCCGCCCCCGCGCGCCGAGAGGGCCCCCGCCCGGCCGCCAGCCCCTCTCCACGTCCGCGGCCCCTCCCTCGCGGCGGAGCCGGGCCGAGGGGGATGCTCCGGGTCCCACCTCCCCTGGGAGCTGCGCATTTCCGCGCGCCAGGGCAGCCTCGGCTGCGGCCGGCCCTCGCGGCGGCCGCCCGCGTTCCGCGTCCCCGGGAAGTTGTCTCCGGAGCCCGCGGCGCCTGGGTCTCCTCCCCCTGAGCCCCGCCCCCCCGCCCCGAGCTGGGAGCCGCGAGCCGCCCGGCCGGGGGCGTCGCCGCTCGCTCTCCGAAGCCAGCGAGTCTCCGTTTCCCTGCGCGGGGTGCACGTCCCTCGCCTGCCCGGGGACCCCCGCTCACCCCCGAGACGGCGCGCGCCCAGAGCGCGGGAGCCCGGAGCGCCGGGCGCCTCGGACCCCGCGGAGCCGCTGCCCAGCCCGCGGGGCTCGGCAGGGATGCAGGCTGCTGTGTGAGCCCCGGCGCCAAGGCCATGTCCGGCGCCCGCTGCCGGACCCTGTACCCCTTTTCCGGGGAGCGGCATGGCCAGGGGCTGCGCTTCGCCGCGGGCGAGCTCATCACGCTGCTGCAGGTCCCGGACGGCGGCTGGTGGGAAGGCGAGAAGGAGGACGGACTCCGCGGCTGGTTCCCGGCGAGCTACGTGCAGTTGCTGGAGGTAAGCGGTGAGGGCGGGGGCTGGGAGGCCGGCGCGCTCGCGTACCTGTTGCCTGCCCCGGGGAGGCCGGAGCCGCCCCTGCTGGAGGGGAGTCCTGGGGCCCGCCTCTGTGTGCTGGACCCAGAGCCGCGCTCTCCTGAGGGCGGGGGAGGCGGCGGGCGCCCTCGGGGCGTGGGTAGTGCGGGGTTCGCCCCCCGAGCGCTCCCCGTGCCGGGCCTCCCGAGCACATCGTGGCCGCCCTGAGGAAGCGAGAACTTGTTGCCAGTGTAAGCTCGGGAGCGGGCGGGCGCGTTCCGGCGGTGGCCGGGGCCGCCGGAGGGCTGCGGAGTCCGGCGGTCTAGGGAAGACGTGCGGACGATCGAGGTGTGAAAAGTGGCCCCGGCACCCCGAGCCTGCCGAGCCGTGGACAGTCGTGCTGCGGCGGGTCAGCTCCCCGGCCGCCTCCGGGCCGTCCACTTACTGGTCAGCTGAGCCTTGCTGGCTACCAGCCCGAGCCCCGTCAGCAGGCTTGATCCCGGGGTGCCGCAGCCCCCAGCCAGCGCCCCCTCCCCTGGCCCAGCTCCCCCAGGTCAAGGTTCAGAACCTGGAAAGTGGCTTGTCCTGGGGTTCTGGCCCGGCCCCAGGTTTCACAGGACCTGCTGAGCCAAGTCGACTGGCTGTTTATTGTCTGGGTGACAGTTGGGAGGCCTCGCTGTCTTCTAATCGCTGAGCTCATGGTCACAGCCTGAGTGGGATCCGAAGTTTCTAAAGTCCTTTGCTGGGGGGTGGAAGGTGGTTTTACAGGACGTCCCCTTCGGCCTGACCCCAGGATTGCTGCAAAGACTTTAACTGTGAGTCGTCGGAAATATTCTGGCAAAAGACTGTCCAAATCATAGAGATTGTATTGATTAATAATTCAAACCCCCCTCCCCTGACCTACTTCACAAAGAACAAAGTAGCAAATTTTGACTGAAAATGCGCTGTGCAACTCAAAAAAGACAGAAAGCAAGCCAGATAGGTGTGTAGTTATGGGTGAGTTTGCCTGAGAAAAACCCTCTGGAAACATTATCAGAAATCAAGCCTGGCCTCCTAGAGATACAGTGATGTTTCTTTCCGATCCAGAGAACAGAATCCCTCCTATGTGGATTTAGTAGCCTTTGAGCAAAGTCGAGGCTGGAAGGAGCGTTCATGGGCTGTCCACAGAGGCTATTTGGAAACCTTCTTGGTTGTGTAATTTGAGAGCCCGGCAGCATAGGGGAGGCGCAGGTGTTTCTCAGCTTTCCTAACTCCCTTCCTGAGATTCAGGTGTGAAAGAAAGCAAGTGAATGTCTCCTTATGAAGATCGGGAGCCGCCTCGTTTCTATTCCAGAAGCCCTGGGAGAGCCTTCTGTGGTAGAGTCCTCTGGTGGCCACACTTTTCCAGGAAACACTGATGTGGAAATCTGGCTGTTGGATGTCCGGTGAGGAGCGTCCTGGCTGGACTGAGCCAGCTGTGTGTTAGGTGGGGAGTGAGGTTGGAGGGTTTGTCCACTGTGTTAGCAAGAGTGAAGTGGCTCTGCTTTTCCTTCCTGGGAGGAAAGGGAGGGTGAATCAGACCCAGGGGACAAACAGAACGATAGGATGGGACAGTTGTGGGTGTGTCAGTCACAGTTTGTGGTATATACATTGAGACTCTCCTATCTCCTATAGGGCTTTCAGACCAGTACCCATCTGAGGGAGCAGTAACCCCGAGAGGGGCCCCCATTTGTTAAGCACCTGCTAGGTGCCAGGCATGGTCCATGCGTTGTCACCAATTCCCCTGACAGCCCTGGGACGGGGAAGGAGCTATCCCCATTTTTGTAGGCAGGCAAACTGAATGAAATAGGTGAAGGCAGTCAGCCAAGGAGTAGTTGGTTAGCAGCTCAGCTGGCTGCATATTACCCTTTGGGCCTCTGTCTCTTTTAAACTCAATATCCTGGGTCACACTGTACCAGAAGCCAAGTGAAGGGTCTAGATCCTTGTGGGGAAGGGTCTGTGTAGCTCCTGAGGTCAGCCTGCTAGAGACAGCATCCCTAAGGGGAGGCAGAGATGCTGGGGCTACAATGAGGGCAGCTGCTCCTACCCACTTGAGCATCTCTCCTGCTAACCCTGATGTTTGATTTCACTCAGAGCCAGCTGTGTTTGCCACAGGTGGAGGCAGGAGTGGGCCTGAGTCCTAGGACTCTTTTCAGGAAAAGCAGATGCAGCTTTGACGGGGAGGGTCTTTGTGTCTGGGAACCTCATACATGAGCAGGCTGGACCTCGAGGCTAAGGTTAGTAGGGATGGAGGATATGCATGTAGGTTCCCCTGGGATGCAGTGAGTCCCCAAAGATAGGCTGGGGTAGGGAATGCAGAACTCGCAAGGGGGTCGCAGGTGGTGGACTGGCCAGCATAGGGAATCATGGATCTGGAGGACTGCCAGCCAGGTGTTGGTGCTGAAACCAGGTGGCCAGAGAAGAAGCCCGTAGGTACTAGAGGTGGTAAACCTCTGCTAGAGGGGTGCCTGGCACTGAGCTTGCAGAGGGGCATGGAGTTCAGAAGGCCAGGGGAGCTGTTGGGAATATAAGTACAGACAGAAGGGGCTACACTAGGCTCCTTAGGCAGCAGTCAGATGGGGGGATGCACAGCATAGCCCCCACCCCAGTGCATCATTTGTTTCTGATAGAGTGATGTCAGGAAACCCCATCTTGGCAAAAATGTGTCAAAGATTGAGAGTCGTCTGTGCAAGATAGACACGCCTCAAGGATTTCCTCCTTGTTCATGTGGAAAAAAAAGGGGAAGCATACCCTGTTGAGAGGAGTTGAGAGCTGACAGGGAAGTCAAAAGACCCACCCTGGTGGCCAGCGAGCCCCTGAGCAGAGGCCAGTTTGACAGAGGTCCTGGTTCCTGGGGAAATCCTTTTGGTCAAGACCCCAAGGAAATGAGGGGATGGGCTGCACATACTTGGCTTCCAAAGGGTGGCTTCCAGGAAAACCTCCACCAAGCAGAGATGGGGGGCCCTGGTAGGCAGGGACTGGTCACAGGGATCCTGCTCTTCAGTGGATGGGGCAGCCTTCCAGACGGTGACAAGCAGAGGGAGCCAATTTTCCCAGAAAAGGGAGGAGGCCTAAAAGATAAGACCCATAGCTGCTTAGGAATTATCAAGGCCCTTAGATAAAAGCAAGCAGAAACATCTTTCTTGAGGGTCTGATCCACCACAAAGAGGTCGAGGAACTTACAGAGACAAGGTTGAAGAGGAGCTGAGGTGATGCTCTTACCTCAAATGGAGAGATTAAAGATCTGGAAGGTACTGTAAGGCATCTGCAGAAACCTCTAGAGGTTTGGGGGATTAATTCTAGGGATTGGGGGGGATGGTAATAAGATTGGAATGCACACACAATAGAGCTTTACTTGAGCGAGGTGCTGTTTTCAGCATCCACAATCTGGCTGCAAGGCCTGGACTTCATAGATAGTAACGGAATATGAGACTTTGCCGGCCAAACTAGTTGGCTGCAGAGGGTCACCCTTGCACCTCCTTCTCTCCAAGTCCTGTTCTCCCATTTTGGGTTCAGGTGATTGTATTGCAGAAGTTTACAGAATGTCGCTGGGGGAGAGAGATGCTGGGCTGGGGAAGCGGGCTGTGCTGTGGATCATGAGGGATATTTTATCCATTGCTGTGAAATAAGCCCCCTCAAAACTTAGTGTCACAAAACAACTATTTGTTACTATGGCACATGTTTCTGTGGATTGACGGGCTCAGCTGGGTGGTTCTTCTGCTGGTCTCTCTTGGTGTCTCTCATGCATTTGCAGTCAGATGGTGGCCACAGTTGGGGTCCTGGAGGCTCCGCTGGGCTGGAACCTCCAGAAGGGCATATTCACTCATGCATCTGGTGCCTTTCATGTGGCTTCTCATGTGGTGTCTCATCCTCTGGTGCCTTTCTGCATGGCCTTTCTCTGCAGCAGAGCAGCTGGAGTTTTAATATATGACTTCCAAGAAAGCAAAAGTGCAAACTGCCAGGCCTTCTTAAGACTCAGGTTCAGACCTGGTGCATCGTTTCTGCCAGGTTCCATGGGCAAAGTGAGTCTCAGGGCCAGTCCCTGATTCAGTGTGGGAGGGAGGCTCATACAGGTGTGGGTACAAGTGTGACACTGAAGCAAGGTTCATTGAGGGCCATTTTGCAGACTGGCTACCTCACAAGGCTAGGGAGATGATCCATTAGAGGGGAAGGTGTACCAGGCCATATGGATGAGAGAGCTTCGGGGAGGTAAAATGAACAGATTTGGTCATTCTGCTAGGAAATTCTCCATCTTCATCCTTTTATGTTTTGTGTTTTTTTGTTTTTAAAGATGCCAGGGAGGGATTTCTTTGTAATGATGATTAATGATGCAGCAGAATTTGAAACCAGATTTTTCAGTGCCTGGAGCCTGGGTCTGTCCCCTGAGCCACAGACAAACTAACTTTTTCAAGTTGGGGCTATTTGGTGCTTGTTAATGGACATCATGCATCCGAACTGCCTGACATCTAGTAGATGCTCCATATGTTACACAGATTGGATTTAATACAGGGCCTTTCTTTTTGTAACATGGAGATTACCTAAAATGGGTGTGACCTTGTTCCTCGTGCCTGTATTTTTCAAGGCAGTCATAAGCTCTGTCCACAAAAGAAATAATTAGGGCTGGTGGTTTGCGGAGCATGTAATTGTGACTGAAAAGATTAAGGTGCTTTCTGCCATCTTTACAAAGTCATCCTGCCCTTTGATTTGGGGGCTGTGGCCAGCGTTTGTGGCTCCCGCTGTGTGAAACTCTACCTACGGCCCACCCTCCGTCTGCCTCTGCTCCTGAGCAGTGTCCCCCGCTTCACTGTTCTGTGCGGGTCTGGTCAAGTGGCCACCCCCTCAGGACTTCAAAGCAGTGGGCAGGGCTTATGGAGTCTCTGGATTCGGGGCATCTTCACAAAAGTTCCCTTAGCAACAAGTCGGCAGGAATCCCTGACATCTGTTAACCAACACGTGAATCCCCGCAG